GAAGAAAAACTAAAGACAAGCAATGATTTCAAATTCTTCAACACCACATAACCATAAAAGAAAAATATCATATACCATTGTTTCTGTTTATTCAGAAAAATCACAGCGGATCATACACAGGTAAAGAAAGTAATGTGAGGAAAAGTCATAAAAATTAAAACCTAATGCCAGAAAACAGAAGGCTCTTTAAGTGTATCACAGTAAAGATATATGTAATGCTTTAGAAATAATTTGTAAAAAGTGTCCCTCTATTAGATTTAAAAAACATTATCCAAGCTGTCATTGCTAAAACTCACAGTCACAAGGCAATAGTAAAAAATTAATTCGCTCTTTTTCACTTCTATTCCAGTCCCAACAACATCTATCAACTACTGGCTTTGGTTTGCCACACTTCGTTTAAATGAAAATAATGTATCATTCTAAGTCATATATAGAAAATGAAGTCTAAACAACTGAGATGGGTGTGCCTAAAAATTGGACATGTGTTTACTTTTGTGATCCTTGAGATGTCTTATTTAAATGACAATAAGAGAATTTTTGTAAGTATAAATCTATAAGGACAAACTGGGAAATGAAACAAAAACAACAAAACACTGAATTGGAGAACCAGAGGAACAAATATTAAATATTGAGAAAACCAAATCCCAAAATGGCCGTGAGTGGAGCTAAGCGGCAGCCTACTTTACAACACAGAACTCTAGATATCAGCATTCCTGGATACCAGACACAAACTGTGCTGTTCAAGATGACAGCCACTAGCCACATGTGACTATTTCAAGTTAAAATGATCAAAGTTAAATTTTGAAATTCAATTTCTCAGTCACACCAGCAACAGTTCAAGTGCTCTTTAGCCATGAACTATTATTGTACTAAGCAACACAGATAAAAACCATTTCTATCATCACAAAAAGTTCCATGGAAGCTGAAACAGAAAGTGAAAATTTGTAACAGCATGATCCACAGGAACATCAAGAAACTCACATATACAGAGATAAGTTTAATTAAAAAATGGTAAGATGATAACATTACCCAAAAGAAATACTACAGAAGTGAAAGGATATATTATGCTCATGGAGTAGAAGCCCACCACCATTTAAAAAATATCATTTCCTTCTGGAATGAACTATGAGATTCGATTCCAATCAATAAACCAATAAAACTGATTGTTGATAAGCTGACTCCAAAATGCATACAGAAATGCATAAGGCCAGAAAGCACCAAGATACCTTGGAAAAACAAAAGTACTCACACTATCAGACACCGAGTCTTTAATATAAAGTATACCAATTAACACAAAGTAGTACTGGAATAAGAACAGACAAATAGATGATAGAATGGAATAAAGAATTCGGAAAGACATTTACATAGAAGCAGTTATAGCCAGGGCAATTAGGCAAAATTCAGAAATAGAAGGCTTCCAGTTTGAAAAATGAGAAGTAAAACTCTATTTGCAGATAACATAATCTGGTACATCTGACCCTTGAACAACACAGGTTTGAACTGCATGGGTGTACTTACACACGGGTTTTCTTACACCTTTGCCACCCAAGATAGCAGTATCAACACCTCCCCATCTCCTCTTCCTCCTCCTCCTCCTCCTCGGTCTATTCAATGTGATGATGAGGAGGAGGAAGACCTTTAATGATCCACTTCTACTTAATAAACAGAAAATATACTTTCTCTCCCTTATAATTTTCTTAATAAGATTTTTTTCTCTACCTTACACCTTATTGTAAAATACAGTATATAATACATATGACACAAAAATATACATTAATCATCTGTTTACAATATGAGTAAAGCTTCCAATCAACAATAGGCTATTAGTAACATTTTGGAAGAGTCAAAAGTTAGAGGTAGTTGTTTTTTTTTAACTGTGGTGGGGGGATCAGCACACCTTATCCCTGCCTTGTTTAAGGGTGAATGGCATAAAGAAAATGCAAAGGAATCTAATTTTTTAATGAAATTTATTTAAATTAGTTTTTAATCAAAGAAAAGCACGTACATAGTTCATAAGAAATCAAATAATATGGCTGGACTGGCAGTGAAAAGCGGCAAACTTTTTGTCTTTTTTCTATCCACTCCCTGATTTTTGTTTCTCCAGAGACAACCACTTTCAACTCTTGGCTACTTCTTATTCCTGTTTTCTCTGAAAAACGTGTTTATACTGCTTTTTCCGGACCTTTCTATACTAGATCTTTATTGTTTCTCCAAAATTACACATCTCTCTTCTCTCCCACCCTCCCAAATTTCCAGGATCACTTCTTGTTAAAACAGTATTCATTATTTACATAAAGGCTGACTTTACATGACTAGTATTATTCATAGTTGAGGTATAATTGTAAAATGTTTATTTTTTTCCTGGGGTTCATAATTACCTCAGTTTTGTTTTCTTAATTTTGAAAAATCTGCAGATCACTAATTTATCTCCCACTCTCTGAAAAATAAAAACATTCTAATCTATGCAAATACACCAGGCAGCTTTCATTTTTTTTTTTTTAAAACATCCCACCTGAACTCCCCATCTTTGGGCATTTCCTGTTGGCTTCATGCTATTCTCCCTAACACCTACCCTAATATGATGATATTGCTATTTTGGAAACTTCATTGTAAGCTGCCTTGTAATGAATCAAACGTTTTTTCCCCTCAACAAGACCGTACCCTCAACATCCCTCCGTGTAAGGACACTACCATCATTCCGTTTACTGTCCCCTCCCTCCTTCAAGGTTCCCAATGGCATTCTTAAAACGGCCTGATCGCATCTGTGCTCTACTTTGCAATCATAACTATTTCCTTAAAAAATAAAAACCACAAACAGCATTTGCATTATTATAAATAAATGCCATTCACTGAATAGCTGAGCTTTGTGCTATGACAGCATCTCCTTTCCTTTGGCTCCGCGGTCTTGATCCTTGTGTTACCACTGAGCCACTGAAATGAGCCCATTTTCTGACACTCTCACCATTTGTTCAAAATCCTGCGGCATTCTAAGCTTGGTATTTGGAGGATGCTTTTCCCGTGCAGTTTTGGTTTCTTTTGCCGAAGGTTTCTGATTAGCACTGTCTTCTCCAGTGGGGTGAAGAAATATATGCCTTTCATAGCATAGTCTTAAGGCTTTTCACTTATTTATTCAGGTCTTGCTTACAGTCCCCATTATTCCTGAAGTTTACTGACTTGTTTTTTTCTAAAAATTTTAGACTTTGTTTTAAAATAATGCATTCTGTGACCTTATGGTCACATCCTGAAATTCCATCTTGTTTTAAGGATGTCAAGCTTTTTAAAACTTTTCGTGGGTATGAAGGTCTCTGTTCCTGAGAGTCACGCATCTCCCCTTTCTAGGCTCCGCTGGCTTTCTGCAGCCCTCTTGGGAGCTCGCTGGGAGCACAGGGAGCAGACATGGAGGGCGCCAGGTAATCGCGAAGACTCGGGCCCCTCGGCCGTCATTCTGGCTCCAGAGACCGGCAGCTTAGTCATCGCTCTAAATGTGCACCTGCAAGCGGATGTCCAGGATCACAGAGCCCACGATGCAGAAGTCCACGAAGTCCATGCGCAGCTGCCAGGCCAGCTCAACAAGGGTGAACAGGGTACCAGAGAGCCTACTGCAGAAGACCCTAGAGGTGGTGGCTGCTCGAGGCCCTGACAGCCAAGAAAGACCCCCGTGGAAAGCAGTCTGGCAGTTTTTCAAATGGTTAAACATAGAGTTACCATATGACTTGGCAATTTCATACCTAGGTATCTACACAAACAAGAAAAATGAAAATATATGTCCACACAACAACTTTTACAGCAAATATTATTGGAAGCAATAATTATAATAACCAAAAGGTAGAAACAACCCAAATGTCCATGAACTGATGAATAAATAAATAAAATGTGGTCTTATTCAAACAATGTAATATCAGTCAATCATAAAAATGAATGAAAGATTGCTAATTCTATAACATGGATGAACCTGGAACACATTATGGTAAGTGAAAAAAGCCAGTCACAAATATATATATATATACACACACACACACACACACACACACACACATATATATAATTCCATTTAATGAGAAATTTCTATAATAGGTAAGTCTAGAGATTGGTGGTCTCTTAGGGCTGGGCAAATGAATAGACAGAGAGGATGCAGGTAAAGAATATGGGTTTCTTTTTGAAGTGATGAAAATGTCCTCAAACTGACTGTTTTGATGGTTGTGCTTATCTGTGACTATACTGAAACCACTGAACTGTATACTTTAAACAGGTAAATTGTCTGGTATATGAATTATATCTTGCCAAAAAAGAAAGCTACCCTCACATATTTGGTCATTTTATTATGACAAAGGCAAAACCTGCAGAGCACTGGGGAAATGTTATTTTCAGTAAATGATGCTGATTCAATTAGCTATCCATGTCAGTAAAAACATGAATCATGTTCTCTATTTTATACCTTACCCCAAAAAATCGATTCCAGATGGACTGGCACTCTAAATGTAAAAGGTTAAACAATAAAGTTTCTAGATGATATCATAGAAAGAGATCTTCATGACCTTGAGTAGGCAAAAACTTCTTAAGGACACAGCAAAGCACCAGTCATACAGGGAAAAATTAACTTAGCTACAATAACCTTTAGAGCTTCTCTTTATCATGATATCATTAGGGAGTAAAATGGCATGCAACAGAGTGGGACAAAATGTGTGATAAATATGAATGTACATATGAATACACACACACACACACACACACACATATGAATGACAAAGAACTCATGTTAAGAACACATATAGAACTCCTATAAAATGGGGAGGGAATAAAAAAGACCTGAACTGGCACTTCTCCAAGAAAAGAACACCCAGTTGGTCAAGAGGATATGAAAAGGCATTCATTCACATTAGTCAGGAAGAAAACACAAATTAGAACTACAGAATATCTAAAATTTAAAGAGTGACAAAAACAAGTGTTGGTGAGGAATTGGAATAAGTCATTAAGAGTGTAAAGAAAAATAAAAAACTTACTTCAAGAGTTCATAATTCTTCTCATTTAACCTCACAGAATTCTCTCTCCAAAATTTCTCAGATTTGTGCACAGGACTCCATTCCAACCTTCCAGATTTAAGTTCTGAACTATATTCATCAAATGAGCTACAAAAATGTTAAAGAATTCAAAGTTTATAAGAATCTGAGAGTTGCTCCAGATTAAGCAAAATAAAACATCTTCACTGACTACTTAGTTACGAAGACTGACCATCCTTTATATATTAACAAACTACCACGAAATAAAGCTTAAACCACATCAATAATCTTTAATAAATCATGTGAAATTTTATTCAGGGCACTAAGATCCAACACTCCTCTCAAATTTGAAGCTGGACATGAGACATTAAAATCAGCACTTGTTTTCAAAATATTTACCCTCAAGATATACATGAATCTGTATAAATTTAAAAATCTGATAATCTACCATCATACTTGAATACTGTATTTCCCAGATCACTAGATATATTAATGTGAACTTACATAAAAATATAGTACTTTAGCATAAAATAATATACTCTAATACTACTATACTATAAATATTATAAACTATAATACATTATAAAAACAAAAAACAAAACAAAATCACACGTATTGGTGCAATATATTACAATGTGACTATCAACAGTGTAGAGGTAATTTATTAATTGAATGAATTCATTATAGATTAATTAAAAACAAAAAACTTTCTATATTTTAAAAAATGGCAATTTATTGTAATTCAAAAACCTTTCACTGGAGAATAACTTAATTATTCCAAGCTTTATAATATAAAAATCTGTAATGTGGTTAACCAGTAGACAAACACAATGTCAGGAATACTTGGACTTTCTTTCAAGCAGCCCTGTTGCTTAGTAATTCAGTATAACCAGGATATACTGGCTAAGTTGATCAGTGTCCTGTTCGAATAAAGAAATAATTTAATGTAGGACTGGTTACTATAAGCAGTAAACTAGTATTTTTACATTCATATCCTAAACCTATAATAGCAAAAAACCAGAAACAAATCTCTTTCAGCTGCACCTATAAACCTATTAGATTTATATCTTTCTTTCTTTTTTAAATTTTTTATTTTAAGGATGTGGGGTACAATTCAGGGTTAGGTATACAAATGTTCATTATGCAGGGACCCTTGTTGATGAGCTGTGCTCCCCCCTCCCCTGGCAGTGTCCCACTACTGGCAATCCCTTCCTTACAGATTATGATAAACTATTTTTCAAGTTACCAAATTCAAGGAGAAAAATAAAAAAGTAATAATAATTAGCTAACAAGGATTAAATCATTTAAAAAGCTAACTATCACAATTTTACTTTTTTAAAAACAGGTCTTAAATAATTGTTATAGAAAAACTAATCTTAAGTTTTTAAATAAACATGATAATAGAATTCATCCATATTTGAAATTAAGAATAACAAAATCATAACAAAAAATAATAATAGAAATCATTTTTCTTCCTCTGCAAAAACTCATTACAAACCACTGACATAGGTAATACCTTCTACCTCTGTGAAATCTTTTAAGCGTTGGGGTTGTGATTGCATTGGGTTATTCAGTAAATACATTTCTGGAGACATACTATATGGAAGGCATTTGCTGGGCAGCTGGAATCTCATAATAAATCCTGCAAGGTTACTATGATATTAATATTTTACTAAAAGGAAAACTGAGACTTAAAATGGTTAAGAAGGTTGTACAAGGCGACACATGGAGAAAGTAGCCAAACAATTCAACCCAAGTTGGCTACCAAACCCCAATCGACCTACAGAGAAGGAGCTATTTCCAGAAAGTCACTTTCTTTTATTTATTCATTTTAATTTTATAGACATATTACATTTATTCAGAAAGATATATATGTAAGTATCTCAAAGCTAAAAAGTGAAGCTAACATTTGAGGATTAGGCAAATTTCACGTTACAGAATATAATGATGACAAACAATGGATAAAAAGTTATTGTGAAGTACACAAACTATAATTTCTGGCTTGCTTAGTCTGCCTATTTGATCATGTCTCTATTTGTATCAACAATTCTGCAATAAGTATTAAATATAATAACTAAGCTGGTATATGGAATAGACAAAAGAGGCTAGAAATTAGAATTGTCATATATGAGCTCTTCTGATTTCAGAGTAAAATTTGTGTTGTTCACTCCTAGTGTCTTCAGGTGAATAACTAAAAGAATAAAGGAAAATAATTTTACTTAAGGTGAATCTCTTCATGTAAGCTACACTTAAACAAACTTGGCCAGAATAAGATGTATATATCCTTAACTAATTCCTAAGGTAGAAATTAATAATTTGCTCAAAATGATTGTTATATGAAAATTTTCAGTGTGTAATAGCTGTAATTTAAAAACTGTATCTCTCAGTTTATTCTAAATCCTCTGTGGCAATAATGCATGTATCTTAGAAATAGCAATTTCCAGAGACTCATCAAGTGATAAAAATGTTACCCAATCTATAAATATTACAAACTTCTAAGATAACATGGTTTTATGTAAACCAACCTAAGTCCATATGGAAGGAGAAAAGTGTGACCAAAGAAATGTCTAAATATATATATCTCCATCCAACTTCTCAAACACTCCATCATTATCTACTTGATTTCCTTCAGGAAACTCTTTTTTAAAAACATGCCAATCATTTAAAAACAAAGAATACATGTGTTAATGGGAAAGATAATCAAGATATAATGAAGCAGAAAAAGACCAAAATCCAAAGGAATACGTAGAGCCTCATTTATGTGTGTGTTTGTGTGTGTGTATGTGAGTATGTGAGTGTGTGAGTATGTGAGTGTGTGTGTGTGTGTGTGTGTGTGTGGCAGAGAGTGGCTAAGCAGCTTTTCAGAAGCAAACACAAGAAACTGAGGGTGAGGGTTGGGGGTAGGGGGGTGAGACAAGGTGGAGAAGATGGTGGGAGTGGCATGGAGTCCCTTCCATACCGTGTAAGGGCTTTTTTCCTTTACTGTATGCACATCATTTGTATCTCTCTTTTTTTTCTCCTTTTTTTATTTTAAAGATGTGGGGTACAATTCAGGATTAGGTATATAAATGTTCATGGTGCAGGCATCCTTGTGGATGAGGTGTGCCCCCCACCCTTCCCCAGGCAGATTCCCACTGCTGCCAATCCCACTTGCCCTCAACCCACCCTGGCATCTTTTTTTAATATAAAAATAAAATGAGTCTTCAAAAAGCAGGGAAAAAAATACTTTCTCCATATACAGGCAAAGCTCTTCCACAAATTAAAACTACCACTGCTACTTAAAGACATTCTAAGAGAAGACTCTCAAGGAGTTCTACCGGGGTTGAGCCAACAGCCTGAGGGGCAAAGCTGGACGAGTTTGAGACAGCAGAAAACAATGGGACTCTCCCCAAATAAGAATAAATAACACACAGCTCTGACCAAGTGTCGCCATGTAAGAATAATGTCTTCACAGAAGACAACATATTTTAGTGAAATGTCTTGATTTGTATAGATGGCAAAAAGAAATTCAGATTTTCTTAACACGGCATGCAAATAAAACAAAGCCCCAAAGCCCAACAGATCCAGCACATAAGAATTAAAAATAATAACACACCTAAGGTCCTGGACACTCTCCCCAAGTTTCTCCAAAAGAAATTTGATATCTTCGCTGATATCTTCGTCATCATACTTCTGCTGTTCCAAGTTCTCCAACTGTTTCAGAACTTTGCACTGAATCATAGCCAGAGCATATTCTTGGCGAGTCTCTCTTTCCGTTGATTTTTCTAAAAAGTTCTGAGTTAGACAAAGTGATCATGAGAAACTAAAGAATTTGTCATGTGATGTCCTCAGACCTCTGCACTTCCTCTTATGCTCTCTCTCCTCCTCCTCCTCTCAGGTTTAACAACAACCTTCAAGTGGGCGACTACCTCAAACCTTTACTTTCTTCCTGAGTGTCTGTCCCACGTTAGGAGTTGACTTCTGATTACTGACATATACTCCGGATGACTAGAAACCTTTAAGTACTGACACAGACAAGGCGCATAACACGAATGCACTCGAGATGAAATCCGCCACAACCCGTCCTCACGGCCTGCTCCACAGCCCCCCAGCCCGCGCTCCGCTGGTTGCCAACCTGGAGCACTCAGGACAGGCACTAAGAAAGAAAGCTGCTTCAAACATCCCTAGTCTCCAGGCTGTCACCGTTTTCCCCTCTTGAATCTGCACACAAGTGTACAAGAGACAATGATAAAGAAGAACGTTCTTGCCTAAACAATTATCAGAGAAGTTTTGTGACAGTCAGGCAAATTCCCTCGTGTTAGTCTGTGATGTTCTATTTTTAAAAGCACCTGGGAAAACAGAAAAAGAACCCAGGAATGCAGCTGACCATGTTAGTGATATCGTTAGTGATAACAGGGCTCATCATTCTTCCCTTTATGTTCTCACCAGATTTTAAGTACCTTGAAAGCAGTTCAGACCAACTACTATTTTTCACGATATCACCAGTGCTTGGCTCAGTATCTGGCTCAGAGTTGATACTCAATAAGATATCTGTGGACCTAAGATTCCTTCTCGGTGCTTACATCTATAAATATCACAAATTACTTGCAATCCTTTTTATTATAAATAGATCATGAGTAGAGTAGCAACAGTATAACTAAATTAAATTGCTTTCAGAATTACTTCAAACCCAACACATGAACTCCTACTCAGGTATGAAGGACTAAGAACCTAGTGAATAAACTCCTCTCCTGCAAGAAATAACTATACAACCTAGACAGACTGAAAAAGCAACTGAAGAATGAATAGAAATAGACTCTGGTGTGAAGTTCATACCTGCCTAGGGTAGGGAAGTCAGAAACCAGTGCAGGTTCCTGTCACTGCAGTTTTTATCCTGACACTACGTACAGCCTGTGCATCGGGCACAGAGGCAGAGAACCCATCAAAAAAAAAGCCAAAAAGTATTTCTGGCTTAGGGAACCAGAAAAGTAAAGATGGAAAACCGTGAATGCTTAGAGGTATGGGGATGACGATAATCCCAGAAGACAGAACTAGAAAGAGGACCCAAATTCTGTTTAATCACATCTCTGACCAACTCCTAAAACATGTATGTTTAGAAAGACTTAAAGCAGCTAGCTGAAGACCAGAGATCTAAACTGCAACCAGAGCTGCCACCCAAGAAATAAAGTCTGCAGTTCCAGATCAGCTATGAATACAATATTAGCTAAAACAGGGAAGCAAAATTTACAGGAGAAAAAAAGTGAATGTGCAATCTCCACAACATAGCATTAATAATGTCCAGAATACAATATAAGAATAGATTAAAAAGCCAGGCTCGGTGGCTCAGCCTGTAATCCCGCGCCTTTGGGAGGCTGAGGTGAGTGGATTGCCTGAGCGCGCGGGTTCGAAACCCGCCTCGCGGCCTCATCTCACAATAAATCAAAAAATCAGCCGGGCATGGTAGCGCATGCCTGTAATTCCAGCTACTCGGAAGGCTGAGGCGGAAGGATCGCCGGAGCCCAGCAGGTCGAGGCTGCGGTGGCCGGGAGCGGCCACTGCACTCCAGTCTGGGCGACAGAGTGAGACTCCAACTCAAAAAAAAATAAAAAAAATAAATAGATTAAAAATGATCCAAGGAGAGGATAAAATATTTTTTAAGAAGTGAAAAAAGGCTCAGGAATCTGTCAGATGTTTTCAAATGGTCCAATATACGGGCACAAGGAGAGGTAAGAGAATGGTGCTAAAATTTTATCTGAAGAAATAATGGCTGAAAATCTCCCAAATTCAATGTGAGAGAAATTTTCAGACACAAGATGCTCAATGAATACCAAGCCCAAGCAGAGGTACATCATTGTCAAGCTGATAAAAAGTCTGAAGATGTTTTCTTCAATTTTTGTTGCATATAGAGTTCTGGCTTTATAGTTCACAGAAAAAAAAAAAGACAAAACTAAAACATAAGCACCAAAGTGACCATGGTAAGTTCTTGGAGTCTTATAAGGTTAGAAAAGTTTCTACCTATTAAAGCAAAAGTATTCAATCAATCTTATTTGGAACTGTTTAGTCAGAGAAGGTGCCTCATGTACACATCAAGAAAAAAAAAAGTAATATCTTGAAGCAAAAATCCATATTTCCATAACAAAAATAATCATTTCAAAAAAACATGTTTCATACTAATATGTTAAAATTGCCATCATTGTGAAAAAGTTATTGATTTTGTGATATTTCCATGAAATTACTTCTGAATTTCTATTAAATGTTCCCTGTTTATTGTTTCATGTGAAATATTGGGAACGAGGTATATATCTAATGGTTCAATTTTTAAATCTATTCCAGAGATTTCATTGCCAGTAATGGTAAAGTAGCTCCTATTGGATCAACTCTTTCATAGGAAACAACTCAAAATCTGGATGAAATACAAAAAACCTGAAGGAATCAAAGGCAGCAGAAACTGGAAGGGAGTCTACACATGGAAAAAGGGAATGGTACTAGGGGAATTTATGGATTTATACATGGTTTTTCTCTTGAGGGCAGGCCCCAGTCAGAAAATTTCAAGTAAAACTCAGATAGAAACCTGCAGCCTCTCTGGTCTTAAGAAACAGAGAACAGTTCAGCATGACCATACCAGTTAGAAAGTGAAAGGAGAAATCACAAAGAAAAACTCAAAGAAGGGAGTCTCAAATTCTGCATACAAACTGCACAAATCTCTGATTGACCACTGAACTATGTCCAAGCAGCTCAGCTATGCCTTAAAAAACTGGGGGGAAAAATTTTCAGCTGCTGTTCACCACAGGAAGACAAAGCTTAGAGGTGGAGCCCAGGCAAGTTAACTGCCTGCTAAACCAAAATACTCAATGCTCTGTAAAGGAACATAAAAGAAACCAGAGTCTCTAAGATGTAGCATTTACAACATTCAGAATACACTCCCAAATTAGTAAGCACATGAAGAAATAAATATGAACAAAAAAACTCAAGAGAAAATCAAGGAAGACCAACCCTGAGATGAATTCACTATCGAAATTTTCAGAAAAAGATTTAAAGTGAACATTATAACTATGCCCCCCAACTATAACTATAACTCCCCTGGGGGGGGGGAGTTCAGCAGAGAATCAGACAATATAAATTTCCAAATCGAAATTCAAGAAATAAGATAATTTGAAATCTTAAATTTTACTAATGAGTTCAAAAGTAGACTGGAGTTGACAAAAGAATCAGTGACCATAAGGACAGATCAATAGAAATCATTCAATTTCAGAGACAGAAAAGAAAACCCTCATCCCCCACTCCTCAAAAAAATGAACAAAGGCTCGGTGACTTGTACTGCAATATCAAAAGATCTTCTAAGTGTAATTAGAATCCCAGAAGGAAAGAAGAAGTAAAAGGTACCAAAAAATATCTTAAGATATAATGGCCAACTTTAACAAAAGACATAAATCTACGAATCTGTAAGTTCAGTAAACACTAGAAAGGGTACAAACAAGCAACTCTAAAGTCAGACACATTATAGTCAATCTTTAGAAAAGCAAATATGAGGAAATTCTGAAAGTAGCCAGAGAAAGACAACCTATTATATACAGGGAAACAAAAATACATAGAAAGGCTTATAAAATTCATTTTATATAATGAAACTGAGATAATCAGTTACCAGCGATATGCACTAGAAGATATGCTGAAGTAGAGGTTGGCAGACTTTTTCTACAACAGGTCCAAGAGTAAGTATTTTAAGCTGTGTGGTCTCTGTTACAACTACACAATCCTGCCATGATAGTGCAGAAGCATCCACAGCAAATGCATAAACAAACGTGCAAAGCAGTGATCCAATAAAGATTTATTTACAAAAACAGCTGGGCCAGATTTGACCCATGGGTTACAGTAGTTTGCTACTGAAAATGATACCACCAAGTAGCTGGATAAACATGAAAGACTATTTTTCCCTCTTACCTTTCATATAGAACTGATTACAGCAAAAGGTAAACCACTGTATTGTAGAGTTTATAATATGCTGATATAATAGTGACAACTGAAGCATAAAAGCTCACAAATTCTTACATTTTGCAAAAGATAGTATAACATTAACTTTAAGCATAACGAAAACAATTAAGGATGTACATTGTGACACCAAAATGGCCTCTAAGAAGAAAAATACTGCAAAAAGAAATCATTTAAAAAATTAAATATAAAAATTTTAATATTTTATTAGTATATAATAGATGTACATATTTTCAAGGAACATATGCTATTTTGATACATTCATATAATGTGTCATGAACAAATCAGGGTAACTGGACTATCCAGTTACATTCTCTTTATGCTGGAAACACTAGCTTTATTTACATTCTCTTTATGCTGGAAACACTAGCTTTATTCTCTTCTAGCTATTTTGAAACATGCAACAGATTGTTTACTATAGTCACTCTTCTGATTTATCAAACACTAGTCTTATTTCTTTTATCTACAATGTTTTTGTACCCATCAATCAACCTCATTTTATATCCTCCTCCCCACTACCCTTCTTGGCCTGTGGTAACCAAAAATTATTTGTTCATTAAAAAAAAAAAAAAAAAATCCTGTCATTTGCAGCAACCAACAAAACAACAGATCATTATGTTAAGTAAAATGAAAATTTTTTAAGGATTCCATCAACCCAAGAGAAGGTAAAAATGGAAGACAAAAGAACAAAAACCAGATGAGTAAACAGAAAGCAAATAATAAAATGGTAAACTTAAATCAAACCATAACAATAATTACTTTAAATGCTAATGAACTAACCACTCCAGTTAAGGGGTAGAGATTATTTA